AGTAAAAAGGGTGAAAAATAGGAAGAAATAGAGAGGAGTATGTAGAATAAAAGGGGAGTATATAGAATTTTTAAAACTCATTAAGAGCATTTGAGGTTAAAGTCCAAAAATCATTCCATCACTTAGACTGAACTATCTAAACCGCGCTAGCTTCTTCCTACTCTAACTATTCCTGTGTTTTTTTTGGCCACTCATCTCAAACTCCTTTCTTCATCGCTGGACTTTAACTTTTAATTCTAACTTTATTACTCTTATCTTATTGGCTTTTTAACGTTTCTAACTTTATTACTCTACCTCATTGTCCTTTTTACAGTTTATGTTTTCTGAAACCAGGAACTTCAGTGTAATGTTAGTAGAGAATATGAATTTTTTAAGACTTGTTTGGCAAGTAAATGAAGGACTATTTAAAGCTCATGTGAAGTATGAAGTAATATTCAGAATTCTAATCATATCTTGTTGAAAATTTGCATCACTTAACAACGATGACAAAGCTTCTAAACTCAGAAGAAACCATTAATTGTCTCAAGATTAGTACCCCCTTCTACTCCTGAATAGAACTAATTGTTTTTCTTAGCAAATTGAAAAGAATGAAACAATCAAAAGATTGCTTCAGCCAACAGTATGTTGCAGAGGTAATAGGTGGAACCTCGTTACTCTCATCTTCATATTTGAACTGTTGTGATGCCACAAAATCTGCGTGTACATATCTTGAAACAATAATGAAATTCCTGCAGCGGTCAAATGTAAGTTATCAACATGGGAAGGCCTATAAATAACGTGTATTCCTATAAATATATTGAATTTCAGTAATTAAACCTTTGGAAGCTAAAGATCCCGAATGCGTTTGTTGCATAGAAAAAGGGGGAACCCATCAAAGTCAGAAACATGTACCGTAGCCATGCCCAGAGCCGGCCCGGAGGCCAAGTAGTACAAACATGGATTTGTGGCTCTATTTTTTTATATAAAATTTTTCTTTAATTTGCGGCCTATTTTTTATTTAGTTATAAAATTACTTTTTTAATTATAAAACGGCTCATTTGTTATTTTAGGTTGCAGCCACTTAAAACTTAAAAATTTAAGGCTGGCCATGCCAGTATACTTTGACAATCGCATGTTTAGTTTAAGATATCAAAGAGAAGAAACTGCAGGTGCCAAAAAAAAGAAAGAAAGAAATTGTGATCTGTTATACTGAGAAGTTGATAACACACTATTAAGAAACATACACCATATTAGGTTTTTTGGGATTTCAACTATCCCGTATCTTGGAGTTTTGTTGCGATTCCAAAACTCCATCGCCACAAACCGAAAAACTTAATCAAGTCTAGACATTTGGTATTGTCCAGATTTTGGTACACATGAAAAGAAAAAGAAGATAACATACCAAAGAGACTTTAATCCAAAAGATTGGTAGAAAAGAAGACAAATTTCTCCTCCAATAGTGCTGGAAAACCTTGGCTGGATTTTCATCCTTTAAATCCAAACCGAGAACTTAGATTTGAAGATAACGTGGAGGCTCGTTGGTTTCTTAAAGGAAGGTAAAAAAAAAAGAGAGAACCGTGTAAGAGGGCATGAGAATGGGTTTAAAAGCTACTTATATTTGTAACATAACATACGAATCAACTGAGTCGGGAAAGACGAATATGGAGCTTCCATCTCTTTGGCGAAAGATGAGATTGAGCCATTTGGCAAAGCTAGGGTCGGGAGCTTGCATCATCTCGCACCCTTTTATAAGTTTTTTTCAAAGGGAAGGGGATTAGAATCGTCAGATGGGGTTGAGAATTATATATTTTGTGCATTGAAGAAAGCACGAAGCCAGAAACCTCGTCGGCATTTAAGACATGTAACTAATGACGAAATCAATGGTATACGTTTAATGTGCAGGGTTAGCGATACGTTACTTTGCAGAAGAGTTGACATGGCTGCCATGTGTTGATGATGTGTGACTTTCCAATGATCTAATTGGAGGATTATTTCTCCTGATTATTTTGCTTACGTAGCTAGGAAGATTGGAAGCAAATCGTTATACAAAGATATTCATATGAATTCACTGTACTGTAATAGCATATGAAGCCATATGAAAGGGATTTTGATGCCATGATTGAATTTCAGAGGCTTTTGAAAGGGTTTTTGTTTGTCGATAGGATTGTGAAAGGTAAAGTTTTATAAGTTTCCTAAAGAGAGGTCATCAATATGAGGGAAATGGCCAGTAAAATCACTGATGAGTAATCAGTAACGTTAGCTGGTTTTTGAGGCAAAGGAAATCGATTTCATTATCAAATGAATACGGTTACAGTAAGAAGCGTTGATTAATTTTGGAGTAGGTTAGGTGAATCGTTATTTGATTTTGGGTTTTTTATTTGGGCTTGTATGTAATTTTATTTGGGTTTTTATATTGGGCTTGAATCCTTTCACTTTTGTTAGGCTGTAGTTTGTGGTGGTTATATATTTGCTGTAACGTTTTGATAGAAGATTTAGAAAAATAATTTCTGAGGTGTATATTTGAGAAAATCTGATTGGAAAAATATTTTGGTGATTTTTTTTTGCTGAGGTGGCATAGCTGAGAGGTCTCTAATCCAGTTCCTTTTATACAAAGGAGAAACTCTTACAAAATAAAGCTATCTAGTATCTACTATTCTCTAGTGATTCTTTAAATACGTGTATACTAGTCATCGTTACTTTTTTATTTATATATATTTAGTTAAGAAACAAACGTAGTTAGTAGAGAATAAGGAGGAAATTACGTACTAGTGAATGATGATTATAGACATTTAGGTTGTGAATGGTAACCTTTGAGTACAGTTTTCAAAAAAATTATTTTCTAAAAACGCAAATTATCACCATTCATAAGTTTAAGGGATAGTTTGCGTTTTTTAAAAAAAAAATCAAAAAAGTTATTTGCGTTTTTTCAGTCCCATAATAATCACTTGGACCGTTTTTATTTTGTCCCGCACCATTTGCCTAGTAACTCATTCAATTACGCATTGAGATTAAATAAATATATTTATTAATTTTCTTTTATCTATTTAATTTTATTAATTAAAGGTTGATTAAATTCTTTACAACACATTTGTTTACATATATTTGAAAAAAATACAAAAAATTATATTCTAACTTATTAGGTTACTGATTGTAAAAAAAAATTCTTAATACATTAATATAATTAACTTTAATATGTTAACATATATAATATTAAAAAATAGGTTATATACTAATAGTTAACTTTTTTACCAATCAAATATTATTATGTATCGTTTATTTTATATACTGATCGTATTTATTCCACAAATATATTTTTATTACTTTACTCAGATTACAACTAATTAAAATAATTATTTTAATAACAGTTTATTGATAAAAATAATTTTTTATATTCAAAACATTTTTTATGTATCACAAGTTATTTTTTTCCTTATTCACCATTCAAACATTTTATTATAGACCACAAGTTATTTTTTCACCAATCAAACATTATTTTATACCGCTTACTATATACAAACCGCATTTATCCCGCAAATATATTGTCCGGCATGTACTGCAGTTGAACCGTACCATATTCTTAAATTATTTTTCTCGCACAACAAAAACCGCTGTCATCATTCGGACCCTTTAATCAAAAAACTAATACTATCAAAGGGTTTGAACTTTTGAAAGAGCTGACAAATGCTAAAAAGAGCTAGAAAAGTATTTATTTTGTGTGTCGCGTGCGAGTAGATTGTCGTTTATTTAGAGTTTTGACTGGAAGTAATTATCCTCGCTGCCAGTCACTTCACTGATGACGTAGGTCTTTGTTTTTTTTTTTTTGGGCAAATGACTTGGGTCTTTTTCACATCATTCTTAGTTGTCAAATGCCATAATGAGTGCAGATTGTACTGCAAAATGGGCTCCCTCCAATTCTATTTATCATGCGGTATTAGATAAGTGTACCCCTTCTTGATTAAGTCCGCTGGTGCTAAGGGAGAAACAACTTTCTTCAAACTGTATTTAATTAAGAGAAATTTACAAATTATATCACTTTCTGAGTTTAGTTTACATAAAATATCATTTTCTGCTACTATAACACTTTTTCAGTTTTTACATTGGCTAGATTACAATTCTTTTCAGTTTTTTTTCTCTGCGACTACAATATATTTTATTTCTTTATATTTTTTTCTCTTTCCTCTCTTTCTTCAAACTTATATTTCTCATATTTTATTTTATTTATTTTCTTTTTATAAAAAAATAATTTTGCAATTATTTTCACACTACCAGTTATATCTGTTTTATGTCTATATTTTGATACCCATTTTATAATAGTTTACATAATTATATAATTTATATATAATATATAAAAAATACACATATACATATAATGTGTACATATATATTTTATTATCGTGAAGCAGCATGTATGTTCATGTAATTGCATCTATGTGTATCATATATGCGTAAATACGTTTATATATCCATGTAATTTCGTTCACATAGACCACATGTTCGTAGATACATCTAAATATGGATACATATATGTATCCACGTAGACACAACTATATAATTGCATGTACGTTTTATCTAATTATACGTATTATATATAAGTAAACTATTGAAAAATGATACTCAAAATATAGATATAAAAGAGATATAATTGATAGTGTAAAAATAATTATGAAATTATTTTTTAAAACAAGAAAATAAACTAAATAAAATATAGAGAATATAAGTGTGAGAAAAATAGAGAAAAGAGAGAAAAAAATATCGTTAGAAAAAGGGAGACAAAAGAGAGAGTGTAACTTTGTATTTTTAATTTGATTTATTAGCCCAAAAATTACAAAGAGTAAAAAAGGATAAAATTGTCATCTAACCAATGTAAAAATTGAAAAAATATTATAGTAGCAGAAAATGATACTGTGTAATAAAAAAATATAAAATAATATAATTTGTAAACGTCTCTTTAATTAAATGAAGTATGTCGGTATGTTATGAGTTAAAAAAAATTAAAAATGCCATAATGAGTTTAGAAAAAAAGTAAAAAACATAAAATTCATCGTCCATAGCTTTAGCGTCAGCACTCAGCACGCAGATTTTTCTTAAAAAAGGATAAAAAAAAAACATTAGAGAAAATTCAAAAAGAAAACACAAAAGGCCCAAGCCCAACTGTAAAATGGAAGTTCACCGGAGAATCTGACCCGACACGGATACGACCCGACTTCAATGATCTCCAAACCCAGAACTCTGATCAACAATGGCGGCCACAGCTTCCTTCGACTCCTTCAGAAGCTTGATACTGTTCTTCAGCTTCTCTCTCTTGCTCGCCATCGATGGAGACTCCTCGAGCATCTTCTCAACTCCTCCGCCAGCTCTCGGATCCACCATTTCCGCCACAATCTCTTTCTGAAACTGACTATTCACGAGATACTTCACAGATATCTGAAGATACAGCGCCAAGTTGTCCACGATCCTTCTCAGGACGATCTTCCAATAGGATGTGATCCTCATCTTCATGTCGAACGCCTGATGCAGCAAATGAGCGTGGTACTTTCGCAGATGCGAAATCTTCACATTCCCGAATCCAGCTAAAGAGAAGTTCTCAGGTTTTCTCGAATCGTTCAAAACAGTATCGATGAAGCTTTGTTGTGCACCTGTCTTCTCCGTCCAAGACGTCATGTACTCTGGGTTACATGTGTAATCAGTAAGCTTCTCCATCTCAACGATCTGAGCGACCCGATTCACGGATTGTTCCTTAATCTTGCAGATGAGGTTTCGACCGGCTCGTTTGATTGGAGATTGGATCTGTGGGAAGTTTTCTGAATGTATTGTGATTACTGATGAGAGAACAACTTCTATGTAGTCCATTATCTTCTTGATGAACTCTACTGGTTTGACATGTATGTCATCCACATGTTGTGAAAGAATAGTCAAGAATGCTGATCTCGGGATGAAATTGGGCAATCCAATACATTTGCATTCCTCCAGAACCTTGATCTCATCCTTCAAGAACTCAGTCACATCTTCTTGTGGCTTTGCTTGTAGATCATCTGAGAATTGGCTCAACATATCAGCCAAACGAGCAGTGCAGTGCATGTTGTGATCATCTGGAAACTCTGAGAAATCTCCTTGGACAAGGATTCGTAAAAGAGATTCCTTTGCAGAACCAATGATGTCCATCAATGCCATCAATGCTTCCTTTGTAGAAGCCATTACAATTGGCAGTTTGTTCAACTCGAGGACAGCAGTTTCCATCTTCTCATCGATCTTGCGGACAATCTCAGGCAAACAGCGGGAAATCATCGTTGCTTGGATAAACATTAGCTTCTGAGCTAACACAGGGATTCCCACTATCTCATCATCGATCATGGAAAGAAGTGGATGAGTCTTGAAAAGCAACTCTTCTTGCTTCCTAGCTTCTTCATATGTCTCTTCTCCTATGCGGTTTCTGACACAGACATAACCAAGTCCAATACTTACATCGTCTGCAGTGACTTTCTGCAGTAGACCTTCGGGAGCCATGTCTGCCTTTGTGACAACAGCCAGAGTCCGTTTACCGGTTTTGTCAACTTGTCTGGACATTCGAATTGATTCGCAGGTGGTGAAGTCGACTGTGGCTGACAGAACATTCAGGATGATGGACTCTTGTGGCTTAATGTACTTCATAATCATCCCTGAAATCTGCTCATAGATGTTTTCCGGCTGTCCATTCACTGGAACTCGAGTTATCCCGGGAAGATCGACCATGGTAAGATCGGGAACACCAGCTTTCTTGACATGAAGGGTCAAGGGAGTGTCTGAGACCCCTTTACCAGATCCTGCAGTACAGGTATTTTCAGATGGACTTATCATAGTCAGAAAATGGTAAACTCTTAGAAGAACACGCAACACTCCGAGGTCATATAGCAAACTAGTGTAGTTAACAACATGAAACACTTCTAGGCAATAGTATTTAGGTATATTTCCACATTTAGTTTCAGAGACTTCTATGGTAAGTATATAACTTTTTTCTAATGCCCATGTTTCAGAAAAATTTCTCATTCACTGTAATCTCTCTTGCATTTAGTATAATCAAAACTGTTAGTGTGAAATACGCAGAATTTTGAAGTTTCATCATATAGCAAAACTAGTCTAATAGCATGAAAAATATAAAATCAGTAGTGACCTAACTAGTAATTCCAGAATGAATTATCACGTCTAGCATTTGTATTCAAGTTTTAGTGTACACATCTAGTGTCAGGGACATGTATGGTAAGTAGATAACTTCTTATTAATTTTCCTATGTTTCAGATTAAGGTCTCATTCACGGTAATTTCTCTTGCAGGATTGCAGCAAATATACACTTAACACAAAATGAGAGAGAAAAGAGAGACAGGACATACCAGCGATCACATCAGTTGCAGTGCTAATAGCTTCAGCTATGTGTTCCTCGTCCGTAGGAACAACTTTGTCGCTATACTCCAGCCAGATCTCAGGTTCAGGGCTAGAACTTCTCTGGAGTCTCATCACAAGAGGAACCCTAGTGCATATTCCTTGCCCACGAGGCAAACTGATTCCTGCCAAGGACTCAAGAACACTCGACTTCCCCGAGGATTGGTCTCCAACGACAACAATGGTGGGAAGCTGGATCCCTTCTCTCATCACATTCAGGTTCCTCAACCTGTCCACAGTGTCAAGCAACGGCCTGATCCGATCATTGTAAGAAGATACAATCGGTGCTTCAATGGTAACAACATTGTTGTCGTGAGTTTTTGCTTCGACAATAGCAACAGAAGAAGCGGTTTTAGAGACAACTTTCTTCTTTCCACCTCTCATTTTCGACAAGAGTGGAATAGATAAGAGTTAGAGATAAGAGGAGAGGTTTAAGAATAAGTGAGATTCTTCTTTGAGATGCTCAAAGATTTATATAGAGATACTAATAGGGTTTTTGTGTATGGGTGGTATATGCAAGAAGTAATCGTTTGACTTGAAAGGATGTAAGTAACTTGCATGAGAAAAGCAACTCATAGTTGAAGCTAAAAAGCCTCTCTTAAATCGTTTGGTATTTTCAGATAGCCGTTTGGAATTATAACGAAAGTCGTAGTTAACGGCAAGAAGCTCATTGATACATCTTTAGTTCATGACTATAGCTAATCAGACTCTCTTTGGCCAGAATTTTTCATACTATTTTTGTTTCCATTTGAATTAGTCTCTAAATGAAAATTTCAACATTTTGGAGTTTAAAACTTCGTAGATTCGACTATAATTTTTAGATTTTGGAATCATGTACATAAATCTAGTTTATAACATTACATACTGTTAACCCTAGTTTCAAAAAAAAAAAAAGAACATTACATACTGTTATATAAATAAAAAGTATGAATATTCAGTATATTTGTTTGTGGTGGTTATTGCCTATTAGGCTGTTTTCAACGTCATAAGCTGCTTTACTATAAAGGTTCACAAAGTTTTTTAAAATTCTGAGATCTAGTAAAGCAGCTTATGACGTTGAAAACAGCCTAATAACCACCACAAACGTCATTAGCAATAGTTTTCGTTTCACTTCAAGATCGGGCCTAATTATATATAAGCATATGAAAATAACTATAAAAGCTATAAAAAAATCTGTTTGGTTCGAACGTTGTACTCTTAAAACGAATTCTAATGCAAAATTTTAAAACTCTAATTGGAAACCAAAAAAAATGTTAAATATTATTTATGATGATTCGATACTGTATATACTTTGATCACTGCAAATTTTAGGTATAACGACTAAAAGTTCAGTGTTTGTAATGTTTTTATTTTATTTTTCAAGATATTCATTATTGAAATATATATATTTTACAGCAGCATATGAAAATTATTTTTCAAAAAAACATTATTCACCATTTTCCTCCCATTTTCTTCATGACAAGAGACGAGAGTGGGAGAGATAGAGACAGATACAGAGAAGAGAGGGAATTTTTGTTTTTGTAAGCTAGAGAAGAGAGGTGTAATGGTAAGTGAAATTCTTCCTGGAGACTTTCCAAGAGATATGAGCTTGTGTATGACAGTATGAGTGGTATATGCAAAGAACTAAATGTTTGAGATGAAAGTATGTAAGTCCATATTACACCTATAATACTAGCTCATAGTTGCCGCCAAAAAGACTCTTAAATCCTTCATTGTATGTGTATTATCAATATTTTCATGGCTCCCATTGGCGGTGACGTATGGTATTTTGAGATAGCCGTATGGAATTATAACGAAAACCTCTCTTAAATCCTTCATTGTATATTTCTATGTGTATTATCAATCCATCTTTAAAAGCATTGTTTTTGGAGACCCCTACACAAATTACAATGGAGGTTTATTTATCTTTTTAATTGCACCTTCTTCCTTTGCAAATATTATAGTTCTCTGTTTCTTATATTACAATTAATCAGTCATCTATGTAGCTTTGTGGTTACGTTTTTGTGGCTGATAAGTGAATGAAGTAAGGTTTTTAAATGACAGAACGTAACAAGCAGAAGAATTTGTTGGTCTCGGTCATTGTTACACCTAAAAAATCTTAAAAATAAAGCTACTAAATCCTATTTACCATTCTCTCGTGATTCTTCAAACACGTCTAAGTCATCGCTACTCTATAAGAATAAGCAACCGGAGGAAATAATTAATTACTTTTACAATGAATGAAGTGAATGACAATAGACTTTAAAGTAAGAACTAACAAATGCGATAGAGGAGTTTTAACTTTTAACAAATTAACAACTGCTAGAAGTGCCAGAAGAAACTAGCAAGAATATACCAAAAATAGGAACCGAGGTCTTTTAAAAAAAGAGGGGAGAAAAGCATTTATTTATTTCATCGTGTGTGAGTGGATTCTCGTTTATTTAGGTCTTTTACACCATTCTTAGTTGTGAAATGTCATAGTGAGGTTAAAATATACATAAACCCGGCCCATCCATATCTTATGTCAAATTCGTAAGAAAATAAAAGAGAAAATGTAATAAGAATATCATTTTAAACTTTGGTGATATTCATAATAGCATGAAGAGAAGAGGTTTCAGAGACAACACGCTTCTCTACCTCCCATTTTTGACAAAAGTGGAAGAGTAATAGACGAAGGAATATAGATTTTAAGAGTAAGTGGGATTCTTTTTAGAGATATATATATAGAGATATTACAAGGGTTCTTGTGTATTAGTGCCGATTGGTATATGCAAGAAGTAAACGTTTGAGATGAAAAGATGCAAGTAAGTAGGTAACGTGCATGCTGGAATTGAAAAGAGCTAATTAAGTCCATAATTAGACTACACCAATAATATTAGCTCATAGTTGAAGCTAGAAACCCTCTTTTAAATCATATGGCATTTCCGGATAGCCGTTGGAAATATAACGAAAGTCAGTAGTTGAGAGAAAGAAGGATACATCTTTAGTTCATGACTATAGCTAATCAGACACTCTCTTTGGCCTGAATTTTTCATATTATTTTCATTTCCATTTGAATTAGTTTGTAAACTAAAATTTTAACCGGCACAACATTTTGGAGTTTGAACTTCTTAGATTCGACTAGAATATCTAGATTTTGGAATAGCATAAATCTAGTTTACAACATTACATATTTTTATATAAATAAAAATTATGAATATAAATTCAGTAGATATGTTTGTGATTATAGGGATTTTTCAACGTCATAAGCTGCTCACCCGTTATATATATATACTAGTTACCTTTCTCCAAGGCGCTGATATAATTTTTCAATTGGTTGTTTGGAAATATAATAGTAGTTTGGATTCATTTGTTTTTTTTATCCTCTATTGTTGAGTATATTTTTTAGTATTGATCAAAAAAGGGAGAATAACATCATGTAAATCCAATTTTTTAATCAAACTGGAAGTGTATTGTTAGTCTATTTCTGTATTCTTTCTAGATTTCCTTGCATTTCAATGTTTGAACATGATCGTGAAAATATTATAAAAGAGAGTAAATAAAAACATATTAATATTCAAATAATTTAATTTAAATAGTTTTGAGATTTTTTGATCATTGTTCTATATATTTTAGACGTAGTTTTTTAAGGTATTGTATGAACTTATTCGATTTTGATTACTATTTTATGTATTTTAGACATCACAAATACCATCATTTCATTAGTTATAGATGATTTCTTTTTTTTTAAGACGATATTCTATTAATTAGATATAAAAATTCTTTTTATTACTTTTTTATTAGATATTTTTTTTTTTGGTTTTGAAAGGACAGTCCATTTTTTTTTAAATAGATTCTATTTTTTTGTTTCTGTTAACTTTTTTGTAGATTTTTTTTTTAATTTCAAAAAAATAAGAAATGGTACACACTAACCTATACTAACCTATATATCATAATTATCGAGAACACTAACCAAGATCTATTTTCCAAAATATGGTCGATGGGTTTATACACCATTCTTTAAGAGATATAGATTCTATTTTTTGTTAAATTTTTTTCTAAATATTGGTTTTTATATATTTTAAAATCGGTTTGATTGACTATAGAATTAAGCATTAAACCATAATAATTTAGACCAGTTTGTTTTAATTTTTTTTACATATCGTCACATAAGAACTAATAAAAAATAACATGTAATTGCAAATTGGAAATAATCAGTTTTTTTTTGCAGCCGAAACTCATTCTGGAGCTGACCCGTAAGCGAAAGGTTGTAAAATTCGCTGTGAGCGCGACACATAAGCAAATCACTACACAAATAAGTATATAGATACTAGACAGGAGTTTACAAACTTTCTTAAAATTATGAGAGTCAAAGCAAAAGTTTCCACTTAAACTTAAGATCGGGCATAATTCTATATAAGATTTAAGCAAAAAAATTGAACCACTATTTCTTTTGGTTTAATTAAGTTAAGTTCGATTAAGTATTAAATTTGGATACCCCCTATATTATAAAATTTGACTTTTTACTGGTCGGTTCGAACATTGAATTCTAAAAGCGAATTATGATGCAAAAAATCAAAAACTCTAATGAAAAATCGAAAATTATTATATATTATTAAATAATTGGAACTGGAAAAAATATTATACTGGATATAATTACAAGACAAAGTGGCAATACAGACAAATTAAAGATATCAATTAACTCATGGTTAACTTTGAAATATCTAGTTCAAAACACAATAATTTCATTTATTAATCATAATTTATCTATAATTGATTTTAATTTGGTATATATACGTTATCACAGAAAAATTTAGATAACGACTATAAATTATGTACGTGTTTAAAACGTCTTAATTTATTTTGTAGATATTCATTATCGAAATATATTTACAACTTATGAAACTTTATTTTTTCAAAAAAAAAAATTATTGAATAGTAAAAATAAATGCTAGACAATTTTATTAAATTTTATTTCTTAAATTGGTACTAGAAATACATAAAATACATGTATCTCTCTATTCAAATACTGACCAGATCTAGAATCTGCCTACTAAATGCAATATTACGTTCATAATTCAAGATTTTCTAAAAAATAAATTGAATAATAGAAAATAATATCTCCTAAAAGTACATAACATTTAATAGATTTTATTACATTGTATTTTTTTATTAGTAATTAAAAATACATGTATCTGTCACACAATTAACAAAATTATGAATCAACCATTAAAACTGAAATATTATGTTCATAATTCATGATCTACCAATATCTCTTTCATTAAACACATTTTTCATTCCAATTCTTTAATACTAAAAAGTTCATACAACAAATTTTGATCCAGTAACATGTTTCCACATTATTTATAAATTCATAAACTTAAAATTTAAAAATGAACATATATGTTTTATATATAATTTTATCTACTTGGATTCCAATTAAACATATGATATACACACAAATATTTTTAGTAAATATTTCCCTATTATAAATATTTGTAAACTAAACAAAAAAATTTTATGATAAAGCAAAAAAAAATTAACTATGCAATATATTTAAACACATATATAATCATTTGGTTGTTTTTTCTTTTAAAAATTATATTTTCATTTTATTAAT